ACTGAGGTCCTGAACTCAAACCCTGCTACTAGCCAAAAAAAAAAAGACACTGCTACATCGTTTGCTTTTAGGAAACCCTTATTTGTAGGCTACTCTGTGCAAAAACAAGAGGCCATCCCACACTTTGCAATACATTGGCGATCTCCCTGTTACCACCTGACTGAACAGGGCCCCTGTGGACACTCCAGCAACAGGCGTGGCACGGTGCCCATTCTGATCCGGCCTGGTCTCTGGGCTCCTCTGTGGCCCCAGCAAAGCACGATAAACAGTGGCCTCCACCACAGAAGTTCAGTGGCCCACAGCCCATGCTCAAGGTGTTGGCAGGCCTGGGCCCCCAGTGAAGCCCACAGCTGGAGGCCTCTCCCCCATTCCCAGCCTCCCCCCCTCTCATGGTTTCCTGACCATCCCTGCTGACCCTCGGCTGGTGGCCACGTGGCTCCACCCTCCATCCTCATGGGGCCTGTGGCGTGGGGGCACCCACCACCTCTTCCTTGTGTGCAGTCCATGGCCACAGTTCTTCATTTTATAGAGCCTTCTCCTTGCAGCTCAGAGTCAGCCTTACCAACACGCCACGGACGCGGCTTCCACAATGGAAATGGATTCTCCACCATCTGAGCTGGTGTCCGTGATCGCAGAGCGGACGGCGCGGCTTTCTCGCGAGGCCCCTGTCCCCAGCTTAGAGAGGGCGCTGTCCCCTGTGTCCTCACATGGCTGTCCCTCCGCTCTGTGCCCATGACATCTCCATGGGTCTTATTCTCTTTAGTAAGGCTGGATCCAACCCCATCAATCAATCAATCAATCTTAATACAGCTGCATTCTGAGGTACTGAGATTACGGCTTCAACATACCAATTTTAGGGAAGGGGGACACAATTCAGTGTGATGCCCATCACACTGAATCTTCAGTTCTGGAGGTGACCAGCAGTGCTTGAGTCAGTGATTGCTGTGACAGTGCTGTGTAACAAACATCCCCAACCACAAAGCTTCACACAGCGATCACTTACTGTCAGCTGGGAGTCAACCCAGGCTAGGGGCAGCTGGGCTTGGCTTCGGGCCACAGAGGAGGTAAAACCAGTTTCATGGGGTTCTCAGCTGCCTGAATCTATGGGGTCAAGAGGGCATGACCCTTCCCTGGAGGGGTGGAGTCATTTGCACACTTGCCGTGTTTCAGTGGACAGCAGAGGTCTCACACTGTGCCCATTCACAGCAAGACACAAAAGCCCAGGGGAGACTGCTGGGGAGGAGCAGGCCCTGCATACTGAACAGCTTTGCCCTTCCAACCCCACGCCCAGCCCTAGTGGAAGCAGATAATGAGAAAGGTGGTAATAGGGAGGTAGTTATCACTACAGCCAGGGCCTAAGCAAACACCATCTTATTAAAACGCAAAGACTAGACAAGCACATGGGTAGAGATAGGGGACGTGATTTGCCTAGCACAGTGTGAGCGGACCCAGTCCTGCTTCTTATCCCGCCAGGGGCTGCCTGCTCATGTCTATGGGTCGAAAGTGACACTGAGCAATGCCTCCTGCCTCTCCCCAAGGGGGTCTGATTGGGACCCCCAGGCTCCTGAGCAGAAAAGGGAGCAGGGAGCCTGGCACGCCATAGATGCTCCTAGGGCGGGGCAGGTCTCCCCCGCAGGGCACCTTGTGGAGTGGGTGTACCCCACTCTCCTCCCCTCTTCCTCTCTCCTCCCCTCCCCCTCTCTCCCCTGCAGCCAGAATGAGCTCTTGAAGGAGCAAATGACAACCACCTCTCCCCCCGCCTGCACAAAAGTCATCTAGATGATACATTCCTGCAGATGAAAAACCCGGGTGTGGAAAGATTTATAACAAAAGCCTTCCTTGCCGCTCTGTGAGTCAGATGAGCGCGTTCACCCCAACACACGTAGGTAGCCCCATTTTAATTTATCTTGTGTTTTCTTCAGCATCACATGGTGCCTGGGCAAGAAAAGGAGCATAGATGCTGTCCCTGCCCCTCTCCTCAAGCGCAGGGAACTTCCTATGGTCTGGAGACCCGCTCTCCCACTTCACAATATTGCAAGTTTTCCATGGGGCCTGGGGAAGGCCCCGCCTCCTTCCTTACAGCTGTGGGATGTTCTGCTGTCAAGGGACGGAAGGGGTGGGGGAAACCCCCCAGCTCTTGGGTGAAGACCTTTGAATCTGGCCGATGACATGTGTATCTGCCAGGTAAATTCTTAGATGCAAAATTGCTGAATGGAAAGGGCTAAGTGATGATAGTGTGTGTGTGTGTGTGTGTGCGCGCACATGTGCGCATGTCAAGAGGGCCTGGTCCTGGGGCTTGAATTCAGGCCTGCACACTGTCTGTCCCTGAGCTTTCTCACCATACAAGGTGGGTGCTCTTGTCACTGAGCCACAGCTCCACGGCTAGTTTTCTGGTGGTTCGTTAGAGCTAGGAGTCTCACGGGCTTTCCTGCCCAGGCTGGTTTTGAATTGTGACCCTCAGATCTCAGCCTCAGGAGCAGTGAGGGTTGGTGATTCCTTTGATAGTTCCTGTCACAGCACCCTCCCTGTTGGAACCTGGTTGTTTCCAGGTGATGCCCGACACTGGCTTTTAAAGCAGGCTCTGCTTTAAAAACGCTCTCCTCAGATCCCTGGCCCCTCAGCAGAAAGCCCCGCTTTCTCAGACAGATGGGGTCAACTTAGCTCTGCCCTTTCTCATGGCTCTTTCTCAGCTAGACAGGGGCACAGGGGCACAGCTGGCCAGAGGCAGCCCCTTGGGACACACGAGGGCCCTGGGGCTGGGGTCGGTGTCCTTCCCCATGCTGGGAAAGCCAGTTCTCCATGCCACTGGGTCATTAGTGGGAGGGGCCAGGGGCCCCTGGTAAGGCGAGGGGCCTGCCTGCTCCCCCCACCTGCCTTCTCCACCCCACCCCACCTGCAGGGTGCCTGGACGTGGTGCCCCAGTTGAATGAGAAACATCCCATTAAACTCGGCAGGCTCATTAAGACTGAAGCCAGGGCACTGGGGTGCATGGGCCAGAAAGGACGGTCAGGGCTCTGCTCAGGAGTCAGTGCCCTAGGGACCTGTGACACGGTCAGGGGATTTTGTGGTCTGAATGTCACTGCCTCTCCCCCAGCTGGGGGGGGGGGAGGGCAGCTCCATCACTCCACACAGCCTCGGGGACCAGGGCAGCTTGGCTGGGCACAGGCAGGGGTGAGGCGGAGTGAGCCAGCAGGGGAGGGGCTGGGCATCCCGTGGGCTGCATGCAAATGACATACAAATAAGCCATCTCAGGTCTCAGGCCCAGGTCTGGTGTGGTCCCCACACAAGGCTCAGGGGATCCCAGGTCAGAGCCCAGCCTGAGCCCTGGGCAGCCCCTTCAGGGACAGGCATGGTGGGGGTGGGGGTAAGGGAGGGGACTCCTTCCTCAGCCACAGGGCTCCTCCCTCCCTTCCCCCTCTGCCCCCCCCCCCCACAGGCTCAGGATTCATAGGATAGGGAAATTGTGGGAAGTACTGAGAAAGTTGAAGCGTTTCCCTTCCCTTCCTTCCTGGTGTGCACACTGCATCTCTTGATCTACCCATCAGCCTTTGTGACAGCTCTAGGAAGGGGCCATGTAGCTTCGGGGCCGAGGACCCCTGCACCTGGCTTCGCACTCACTGGCCGTGGGTTCGAGGATTCACCTCGCAGGCTTTGGCTTTCCCTACCTGCCTGCTATTGAAGTAAGGCTGGCGGCTGAGCTGATGTGGGGGTCCCTGTGTGGGGCCAGCCGTTCCCCTGGATGAGCTGCAGTCCACGGCTCTGTGGATGGGGGGGGTTGCAGCAGTCCACAGCTCTGTGGAGGCGGGGGCAACAGTCCACAGCTCTGTGGATGGGTTGCAGCAGTCCACAGCTCTGTGGATGGGTAGGGGGGGCAGCAGTCCACAGCTCTGTGGATGGGTAGGGGGGGCAGCAGTCCACAGCTCTGTGGATGGGTAGGGGGGGCAGCAGTCCACAGCTCTGTGGAGGGGGGGGCAGGATAATGGGTCTTTGAATGGCAGCTCTGGCTTTCTCACTGCACATCCCTAGCCTGAGGTGCCCTCAGCACACGCAGGAGCTGCTCCGTGCCAGGCATGGGACGTAGTGGCACACTCTGCATTGCAGCCCCAGCCCCCAAGTCATTTACGGGGGACCAGGTGAGCTGGCCTGGAGACCACCTAGATTTCTTCTCAGTTCCCCGGCCTGGCCCAGCTCAGGCTGTGTCCCGCGTGAGGCACAGAGTATCGTCTGCCCCGCTCTATACAGGCCGGCGCTGGGCACAATGCCAGGCAGTCAGAAGGCTCAGCAGTGCCCAGCTGTGGGGCTGGATGGGCCCTGGAGAGACGGGCATTTGCTAGGTCCTCCTCCCCACCCTCCTCTGCGACCAGGCTCCGGCAGGCTCGGCACGGACACCGTGTTATCCCAGTGGTTAGAATACGATCGAGTCAGCCATGCTGCAAACGCGCGCTGAAGCCCAGCGCTCTGCGGCTTCATTTCGCTTTAATAGGAACCATCTGCCGCGAGCGGCAGCAGGCGCAGCCAGTCCCCCCAGCCCCCAGAGCCCACCAGTCAGCAGATGGTGGGGCTGGGATCTGTGGGTGGGGGGGGTCCCAGGGAGGAGCCCCCGAGGCTGGGGGCAAGACATGCACAGCCCTGGGCTGGTTCCTTGGCTCTCTCCATCTGGGACAAGGGGCCAGAGGCCCAGAGGTCCACCCAGCAGTAGCTGCTGGATTAAGCTGAGGGAGGGGGAGGGGGAGGGGAGGCAGCAAGGTGCCAACCCCCCTCCCACTGTGCTCTTCCAGAGAAGGCCTGGGCTCCGAGGCAGCTCCGGCTCTGCCTTCTCCCCGGCCACAGGGTAATGACTGTGATATTACCTTTGTGCCTCAGTCTCCACATCTGTACAATGGGGATGGGGGTGGTCGTGAAATGCCCACCCAGCAGCTTGTGAATGGTGAGGCAGTGTTCAGAGCCTGGTGGTGACAGGGCACAGGAGGGGACGGTCCCTTCCATGGCGCTGGCCGGTTTCACCCAGCTCAGGCTCTGGCTGTGGGGCCTGCCTCAAGTGAAGCCTCTGAGGCCAGAGCGCGGCTGTCCCCCTCTGCGCTGGGCCAGGGTGCAGTGAGGAGCCGGGCACAGGGCTATAGGGCGGCCCCGCTGGGCAGGGGGATCTTGTAGCCACTGCGCAGGAGCGCCAGGCAGGCGCCCAGCCCCAGGGCCCCTGCCAGCAGCACAGCGCCCAGCGCCTTGAGGAAGGAAGTCCTGGAGCGGGTGAAGGAGCCAGGGGCCATGATGGCCAGCAGCGCGGTGCTCACGGTGAGCGTGTACAGGATGGACACGCCCGTGTTGAGGGCCACGATCTTGCCGAACTTGGCGAAAGGAGCGATGATGCAGAAGAAGAGCGGCACGGTGGCCACCACGGTGGTGAGGGCGCTGGACACGATGGCCACGCCCACGTGCCGCACGGCCTCCAGCGTCCGCCACTGGCGCTGCGAGTGGGCATCCTGGGGGTGGGGGGAGAGAGCCACGCTGGGCCGGGGGCCGCTCTGGAGCCCCTGCCCCAGGTCCACCTGCCTGTTTGTGGGTCACAGCAGCGGCTCTCATAAATGGGAGTCTTGACCTAACGTGAAATGTACCCGACTTATGGACGTGTCACGTGAATACACGTTGGGAGGTGGGTCTGTGTGCACATGTGGCCTCAGGGTCTTGGCCGGGATGACCCACTCCCCGGTTCCAGGGTGGGTGGGTGGGCAGGCTGCGGGGAGGGTCCTGGTTCCGTGTGGCCATTTGGGGAGTCATGGGCCTGCCCAAGGCCCCACCATGCTACTGGAGCCGAGGTGGCCTTAGAATCGGATCCTGAGGCTTGCAGCTCAGCGTGGACCACGGCCTGCTGAGGGGCAGGTGGGGGGGGTGCGCGGTGGCCCCCTGGGAGATGTGCTCACCTCAGCCTGGTGCGGCGGCAGGTTCTCCCCGGCCAGAAGGTAGCCCTCCACCAGGTGCACGCAGTAATCCACCGAGGAGCCGACCAGGATGGACAGGGAGATGGCTTCCACGGCGCCCATCTCCCAGCCGCTCCAGTACATGATGGTCACCACGAGGCAGACGATGCCTGCGGGGGGGCGGTGGGGGCGCAGCTTGGATGCCGTGGTCCCAGGGGAAGCTCAGTGACAGGTGGGCCCCAAGGGAAGGGAAGGGATGGCGCCAGAGGCTCAGAGAACCTGCTGGGGAGAGCCCTACCTCTTCCAGTGTCTCTCCACCCCCACCCCGCCCCGCCCCAGCCGTTTACCGAGGATACTCAGGAGCACCGGCAGCAGGAGCAGGACGTGGGTGGTGAACACGGCCACAGCGGCCACACAGATGAGCAGGGAGAGGACCAGGCCGTACAGGGCACTCTGCACCCCTGCACAGTGGGAGAAGCGGGCCTCAGGGGGCTGAGGAGCAGGGAGGGGGCAGCACCCCCGTCCCTGGCTGTGCAGAGGCTGCACGGGGCCCCTGGGGGGGCAGTCACACCACGGGGCCTGAGCGTCCTCCGGAGTTCAGTGCAGGTCCAGGGCCTCAGCCCAGGGCCTGGCCAAGACTCCTAAGCCACAGCGCCCTGTGCAGTGGCTGGCCAGTATCAAGACCCATGTGCTCAGATGCCCCCTGCAGGAGGGGACCCAAGCCCTGGTCTCTGGTCAGGGGCCTGGCTCTGGGGCCCACCCCCGTTCCCCAGGACTCTCGGGGGCCTGTGTGGGCCCCGGCAGGCTGGCTTGGGGAGGCTGCTCACCTATGATCTCCATGAATATCTGCTTCCAGTGCTCACAAGTCTGGAAGCCTCGGCGCAGGGCCGAGCCCTCGGGGAACGTCTGCAGCTGCTGCCGGAGGAAGCCCTCCCAGCGCAGGTAGTCCGAGTAGGTTTGGAAGGAGGCCTTGCCCTTGTACGTGGTCTGCAGGGGACAAGAGCCAGTGAGATGGCGGGGGCTGCGGGCCGCTCGCCGGCCCTGGGAGGGCTGTGCTGCGCTGCGGCCAGGGGTGGGTGCAGGTGTGAGCACCACGGGGCTCAGCGTAAGGTTGGGCCCAACCAAGAACATTCCTTTTCAAAAAAGATTGTCAGTCTTGGGGCTTGGACTCAGGGCCTGGGTGCTAGCACCAGATTAGCACTCTACCACTTTAAGCCACAGCTCCACTTCTAGTGTTTAGGTGGTTCATTGGAGATAAGGGTCTCATGACCTTTCCTGCACAGGCTGGCTTTGAACTGTGAGCCTCAGATCTCAGTCTCCTGAGTAGCTAGGATGACAAGGTGGGAGCTAGCAGTGCTCAGCAGAACACTGGTTTTGGTTTTGGTTGGTCACGGGGCTTAACTCTAGCACTCTACCACTTGAAGCACCAGCACCATTCTTAATGTGGTTGAGTTTTAAGTTCAAAGACAGCTAAGATGGTGGATCTCACAGTGTGTATGTTTTACCACCAAAAACAACTAAGAAAGCCTGTCAGGGGGTTTGGCCTGGCTCCCTGAGGGCTGGAGGTTTCCAGTACCCCCCAGCTGGCAGGCGGTGGCTTTGTCATTGTGCATGGGCGGTGGGGAGAGGGCGGGCCGCCTGGGTCACCCTATCCTGTTTTGCAGATGAGGAACGTGAGGCCATGGGGGACAGGAGAGCAGGGGCACTGAGTCAGGATCAGGTGACGATCTGCTCCCAGGTGGGGTCTCCACACTGAGGCAGCTCGCCAAATCTCAGCAAGCAAAGTGTCATGGCCGTGTGCGCGTGTGCGTGTGTGTGTGTGTGTGTGTGTGTGTGTGTGTATAACTGCAAGCACTTCCTTGAGCAGAGCCCAGGGCGTGCCCAGAGGTGGCAGGGCGGCAGGGAGCGCTGTGGGTGGCCGGCTCCCTGGCTTCCTAGCTCTGCGCCCAGGCTGCTGGGGAAGAGCCATTTCCAGGGCCTGTGGCCCTGAACCTGGCCTTCTACAGAGGCAGCGGGGAGTCCTACACAGGCCCCGGGCAGGAGAACCGGGGCAGCCGTGCAGGGGAGGCAGAGCTTGCAGTCAAGATGCTGCCGCTGGCACCCACGAGCCATGTGACCCAGGCAAAGGCCTGAGTGGCCATCTGTGATCTGGGCTGAGGGCCGGGAGCAGGGGGATCGTCATCCGTGGCGAGCGCCTGGGGAGGCCCGGGACTCACCGACTCGAAGGCCATGGAGATCCACTGCACGCGGCCCTCCTTGACGCCCACTGCCCCGTGCGACAGCTGTCCAGGCAGCAGGTTGGGCTCCGGCAGCTCCTTGCATTCGGGGTGCAGCATCTGCAGGAAGGAGGAGATGCTGTAGCCTGCGGAGAGAGGAGAGCACGGGCTGGGGCCACAAGAATGGCGCCCCCCCCATCTTCCCCGTGGCTGCCACCCTGGGCTGTGTCACTTTGCCACTGGGTAGAAATGACGTTTGCCACCCCTCCCCCCAAGGGACATCCTGGGTAGCATCTCAGGCTCTCTGCCCGAATGTACCCACCTTGGCTCTTCACCCCGAGTCCACGTCCTCTGGGGAATACTTCCCCCCACCCACGCACCCCACGCGCCTGCCCTCTGCGAGCCCACACGCAGACGCGCATCTGCCTGGCTTCATCCTTCCACCGCCTCTGGTGGGCCGCGCCCGGGCGCCCGCCTCCAGGTACCTGAGGGCAGGCACTGCGCCCCGCCCGGCTTCACCAGCTCCGCGTTGCCCGCGATCGCCTTGCAGAGGCGACACAGGTGGCCGATTTCCTTGAAGAGGTCAAAGCTGCTGTCGTAGACGACGCTGCCCTTTCCCAAAGAGACACACAGCCGGCCCAGGCCGCTCGGTGAGACAGAGGCCCAGGGCCCACGCCCTGACGTCTCCCTGCGGTGCCGTCCCCCTCTCCCCAGGGCCCACGCCCCGAGGTCTCCCTGCGGTGCCGTCCCCCTCTCCCCACCGGCCCCTCTCTGCCCTGCCCTGGCCCCTCTGCTTCCACCAGGGCTCAGCTGCGGCTCCTGGCCTCTCCTCTGCCCCTCAACCCTTCCTTCCCCCGCCTGTCCCCCAGCACCTGCCTTTCCCCCTTCCTGGGCCTGAGACGCCCGAGATGCCATGGCAGTGAACAGGCGCCGTCCAGGTGTGCGTGAGGCGCTGCCCCCCCCCAACCCCCCGGGCAGGGGCTTGGGTGCCGAGGCTGCACTTGGACCAGGGCCCCAGGGTCTGCGCTAAGTGGGCGTACATACTGGGTCTCCGATCACGTGGTTGTCGACCTGCTGGGTGCGGTTAATGCCAACGATGCCAAAGACCACGAAGACCATGGCCCCGGTGTCTACCAGGGGCCGCACGGCTGGCTTCCCGCAGCCTGTGTTCACACAGGGGTTGAAGCCGAAGGTGGCTGAGAGGCGGGCCTTGGGCACTGCAGGGGTGACAGCTGTCAGGGAGGGGGAGGGGGGACCGCAGGCTGAGCCCTACGGGTGCCCTGCCTGTACCTCGTACCTTTCTCACTGGGCACAAAGAAGAAGCCTTTGGTGGGCCCGTCGGGGCTGGAGCTGAGCAGGCACCCGGGAGGTGCCAGGCACACGCGTCCGTGGAAGGGTGGCCGGTGGGACTGGGCGAAGTACAGCTTCCTGTGGAGGCAGGGGAGGCCGGGAGGCCGGGGCTGAGGCTACGAAGGCCAGGAATCGCGCCAGCCTCCCATGGCGATTTGCTCTCAGGTGCCATAGATGAGCCGGGGCGCCTGCCCTAGGCCTGCGCTGCGCAGATCAGCTCCCTGTGGTCAAGGCCCCTCCCTTCTCTGGCTCTCAGGGTCAGCAACAGTTCAGGAAGGACCCGAGGCCCGATGTGGTGTCCCTGCCTAGCAGCACCCACGAGAACCAAGGAGCCACAAGGCTCTGTTTGAAGCAAGGGTTCCGTGGCCAATCGCCTGGCTGACCACGGGGCCTGAGGCAGCTCAGAGTTCTTTCTAGAATGTCTTATGCTCATCCAGGCAAATAAATCAGATGACTCTGGCCACTACTCTGTGTCACAAGAAGAAACCTCCACCCAAGACAAGGTGAGTCTGGTAGACAGGGCCCAGCGGGCAGCGTGGGAGGTGCCCACGGCGTGGCCCCGCTGTCTTCCACCACGGCAGCTGCCCATAGCCTAACCTAAAGTGACATGGCTGCCGGTCTCCCGCTAGACGCCCGCAGGGCAGGAGTCCCCAGCCCAGCCCAGAGGTGGGATGCAGACGTGAGTTACGTGCGCCCAGGAGGAGCGGGGAGGCAGTGTGCATCCTGACAAGCACGCTGCCATCTTGGCCCCCGCGGTGCTATGGGGAAGGAGGGGCAGGTAGTGGGAGGGTAGGGCGGGGGTACATGGGGTACATCCCAGGCCTGTCTGTGCCCATGACTCCAGCCCTCAGTCCTGGGCACAGAGACATCCCAACAGGTGTGTGGCAAGGGACGGGTTTCCTGAAGGTGCCTGGTGGCTTCTCTCATGAGAAAGAGGGAAAGCAGGAAGAGGAGAGAAAGGGAGCTGAGAGGAGAAGGGAGTGAAGGAAGGGGGGGAAGGGAGGAGAGGAGAGGGGAAAAGAGCAGAGAATGGGGCAGGGAGAGAAGAGAAGCTGTCATCCAAGCTACTCAGGAGGCTGAGATCTGAGGATCACAGTTCAAAGCCAGCCCGGGCAGGAATCTCCAATAAACCACCAGAAAACTGGAAGTGGTGCTGTGGCTCAAGTGGTAGAGTGCTTGTCTTGAGCTGAAGAGCTGAGAGACAGCGCCCAGACCCAGAGTTCAACCCCCCTGACCAACCAAAAAAAAAAAAGAAAAAAGAAGAGAGAGTAGAGAGAGACAGAGGGCAGGAGGAAGAAGAGGAGGAAAAGGATGGGAGGGGAAGAAAAAGGAAGGGGAAAAGGAAAGAGGAGAGGGGGAGGAAGAAAAGGGTGAGGCAGACTAAGATATAGGGGAGGAAAGCGGGGAGTGGGGGGGGGGCGGGGCGGCCGTGCCGGGCATTACCGGGTATGCTGCTGCTCCGTGGCGGCCACGTAAAAGCTGAAGTCGAGCCTCCAGCCCCGCCTGGCGTCGCAGGCCAAGGTCGTCAGCATCCACCTGCGGGAGGGGCTCGCCGCCTGGAGCAGCCCTACTGTAGACATACAAGCGGTCAGCTTCTTGGTGAAGTCACCAAAAGGCGCTCTATACACCTAAGCAGTGGGTTGACAGAGACAAGACACGTGGCTCGTGGAGGCTGTGGGCTGAGGTCTGTCCCCGCCCTCCTGGGACGTCCTGCCTGGTTCCCCCCCTCACCCCCACCCCCCACCCCTCGTGGGGGGCGGAGCCAGGGCAGAGGCTCCAGAGACCCCCACGCTTGAGTCTGAAAATGCGCAGATCCCTTCCCCAGCAGGGCTTCGGGCTCTGGAACAGGCTGGGTTCACATGTGGCAATGCGGGGCTGAGAAAGCCAAGCCTGGGCTCTACGAGGGGATGACCCACTGGGGACTGGGGGGTGGGGCAAATGCCGGCCCCTGGGCCTTTCCCAGGGTGGTGGCCCAGGGTAGCTGTCACTCTCAGTGACCTATGTCCCAAGTGTCACTCACGCACGGCATAGGCCTTACCTCATGTACCTCCAACCATGTCACAGATGAGGAAACAGGCTCAGGGAGGTTAAAGAACCTACCACCCCAGTCAGACCTGGCAGAGCCAGGACTGGAGCCCAGGCTTGGCTGACCCAGAGGCCCAAGCTGTCACCACTCTGCAGGTGGCTGTGGCAGACCGGGCTGATGTGGCAGCACCCCCCAGGTTGCCAGCAGTGCGGCACTGTGGGGCCTCCCGGGTGGCGGCGGCTTGGGTCAGGGTCAGGGCCGCCCAGGCTCACCTGGAAGGAGGGCACCTCTCCGTCCCCCGGGGACACGGCCTGCCAAGGCGCTGGTAGGCTGGCATTGAGGGAGAGCCTGTAGATAGCTGGGCGGCCTTTAGCCTTCGCTTTGGAGATGTACACGGTGCCCGCTGAGTCTAGGGACAGGTGAGAGAGGAGAGGAGTGAGCGGTCACCCTGCCAGCCTTCCATCCCCATGCAGCTCTGCTGTCTGTGCACCAGGCCTCGCCTCCCAGGTCTGGTGTGGTTCCTATGGTGCCCCATGTGTGGCTGAGATGAGGGAGGTGGGGAGGAGGAGGTGATGGTGGAGAGGAGGAGGTGGTGGGGAGGAGGCAGGTGGTGGGGAGGAGGAGGCGATGGTGGGGAGGAGGAGGCGATGGTGCAGGTGGAGGTGACAGTGGGTGTGACTACGATTGCCCTGGTCACCACCAGGCTGCTGGTGGCAGGACAGCTATGAAGACACAGGCTGTGGGGTGACCGCCCCAAGGGCTTTCTTTACACCCCAGTGCCCATGATGGAGACTCCAGGAGGGTTAGGCTCAGGACGGGCTCTGGTGGGCTGGGGGGGGGGGGGGGGGGGGGGGGGGGGGGTAGGGAAGCTAGGAGCTTCTGGTTGTGGGCAGGGCTTCCGACTCCTGCAGCACCCAGCCCTCTTCTGTGAGCTTCTGTGCAGCTCTCACTCCTGTGGGGATTTGTGGCTCTCCCCGTCCAGGTCCCTGCTCCCCTCCAAAGAGGATCACGGCCACTCACCCTGCGGGAGGACCTCCGGCCGGCCGGCCCAGGGGACACCTGAGCCTCGCCTTTTCTTCTCCAGGGAAGCGCGGATGTTGTTCTGCAGGCTGTGCGGCTTCTCCTGGAACAGACCTGCCCCCCATGCCAAGTCAGGGACCGCAGGGGCCGGCCGGCCAGGCCAGGTGGGCAAAGGGCAGGGCTGGGAGGGGATGGAGTCAGGTCTGAGGAAACATCACAGAGCGAATTCTGTCTTTGAAAGGCGCAGCTGTGGGGTGACCCTGGTCGGCCACTCTTTTCTATATGTGTGCTGGCTCTGGGCCTTGAACTCAGGACCTTGAGCTCTTGTTTAGCTGTTTCACTCAAGGCTGGCATTCTACCCGCTTGAGCCACAGCTCCGCTTCCGGCTTTTTGCTTGTTAACTGGAGATAAGAGTCTCATGGACTTTGCTGTCTGGGCTCAGATCTCAGCCTGAGTAGCCAGGATTACAGGTGCAAGACAGTGCCCCGTCTCCGTGGTGACCCACACCTCCCCCACCAGGGGCTGAAGAATAAACCCGTGTTGCCTCAGGTCTGTCCCCATCTGGCAAGCCATCAAGCACGGGAGTGGGCAGAGACGAAGGGCGGGTGACGCCCTGCTGTGCCACAGCTGTGCGCTGGGTCTCTGCACACTATATGTACTGTTGACCTCAGGGCAGTTCCAGGAGACCGCCACTACTGACCACCCTGGACCCAGGAAAGGCTGGTGACACAGTGCAGACACAGGGTGGGCGGCAGGCGGGTCTGGGCTTCCCTGCTGCCACAGAGGTAGAGCTGGGGCTAGACCTTGATGACCCCCCCTTCCCCCCCCCAGCTCTGGCCTTCACCCACAGTGAGCTGCAGCCGGGGCAGGCATGTCATGACCGAGGGGAAGGGCAGGTCAACCTGAGCTCCACCCAACCAGGTGCAGGCAATCACCCGCATGGGCAGCCTGTCTTGGTTTCTAGCTGCTCATCCCACCTCAGGAAGCCACGAACAGCAAGGCCGGGAGTGGGCACCTCAAAAGCAGCTCCTTCCTGACTCAGCCCACCCCACATCCTGTGCAACTCAAAGCACCCCTAAACGCCTCTAGACTCCACTGCTGTCTCCTTGGGGCTGGCCTCGCGGTCAGCTGCCACAGGCTCTGATCCACACCCACCCTGTCTCCACCCAGCCGCAGGACTCCCTCCCCCTTTGAACTCTGCCTCCTCTGCTCGACCTGCCAGGTTTCCAGGGGCAGACCCCTCACCTCTCCCCACCCCTCGGCCAGACAGGCTCCTGCAGCTGCTTCGCTCAGACCTCGCCCTGCTCTCCCCACCCCTGGCACTGACACTGCCCTCCCAGCCACGCTAACTCCTTCCCTTGTGGCCTGTCTAACTCCTTCTCTCCCCAACCCTTCTGACCTGCTAACACCGCCTCCTCCAGAAAGCCTTCCCCGATAGCAGCCACCCTGCCTTCTCTTCACCGAGGCTCGCATCTGTTACAGTGGCCTGGCGCTGGCACGTGGACTCCCTGAGCCCCAGGGTCCTGTCTCTCCTGCCCACTGCGTCTTCCCAGAGCTGGCACCTAGCCGGCACCCACGAGGGTCCTGTGCTTGATCAAACCTGGGGGCCCCGAGGAGCAGAGGTTACACAGCGACAGCCAGACACCAGAGGGTGGGATCTACCTGAGCAGGTGATGCAGGAGATGCCCTCCGCGCTCAGGTTGTATTTGAGGTCCAGCAGCACCTGGATGTTGGTGTCAGGCCGAAAGAGCAGTGGGGCCCGGCTGGCGGGACGCAGCCGGCTGGCGAACACCAGGGACAGGATGAGGATGGAGACGAAGAGCCCTGGGAAGAAGGATGCCGCCCTAGCCTAGCGGGTCTGGGACCTGCGTACGTCTCCATCTACAGTGGGGCCCGGTCCTGGCAGTGCCCAGCCCGTGGTGACGCTTGCTAGGGACAGCTCTTCCAGGGCTAGGCCCATGCAGTTATGTGCAGAGTTCTTGAGTCTGGCTTTAAACTACAAGCTGACACTGGTCCATACGAACACCATTTGAGAACATGGCACAGTTCATGAAGAGCCAGAATGCTGCTCTTCCCTTCCCCAACCTAACGCATTGTTGGCAACAATGACAAGGGCCAATAGTAACACCTCACACTTCCTGACACCTCCCACATCTACCCACCAGGGCCAATGGCAATGCTTCACGCGTCCTGATACCGCCTACATTCACTCACCAGGGCCAATGGCAACACCTCACGCATCCTGACACCTCCCACATTCACCCGCCAGGGCCAATGGCAATGCCTCGTGCTTCCTGATACCTCCTACACTCACTCACCAGGGCCAATGGCAACGCCTCACACATCCTGACACCTCCCACATTCACCCGCCAGGGCCAATGGCAATGCCTCATGCTTCCTGATACCTCCCACACACACCCACCAGAGCCAATGGCAACGCCTCACGCTTCCAGATACCTCCCACATACACCCACCAGGGCCAATGGTAATAATGCCTCATGTTTTCTGACACCTCCCACGTCCACCTACCAGGCTACAACCTTCATCCTTAGGATGCAGTTGGACACAAATCTTTCCTTTTGTGCCACTCAGTAGTAGGGCGTGAACTCAGGGCTTCATGCCCTGGAGCTCTACCACCTGAGCTAAACCTCCACTTCTAGTTTTGGTAGTTGGTGTTGAGAGTCTCATGGACTTTTCTGCCCAGACTGGCTTCAAACCTCAATCCTCAGCCACCTGAGCAGCTAGGATTACAGGCATGAACACCTGGCTAGACATGGCTGATTTTTCTTTTTGTGTGTGTGCTGGGGATGCATATAGCAGAACTGCACTCTCCCGACCACGTGCCAGCCCTGGACAGTCTTGCTGTCCTCTGTATGACAGGACACCGAGAGCACAGCTGAGTCACTGTGTGTGGCAGAATTGGGGTTCAGAGCCAGCCAGGCTGTAGACATGGAAGCCTGACTGCAAGCTTAGCGCTCTCCTGAGCTCCTGCCCAACCCGTGTCAGAGGCCTGGCGAGCGGTGGCTGCGACAGGACCAGTGCCTCTGCAGGAGCAGAGAGGTCCTGCAAGGAGGCAGCCCGAGCCTCCGGCCTCCGTGCTCACCTCAGGGGGCTGGGCTCCCAGGGTCTGCATGTCTAGGTGAACCTCCCCCCTCCAGACCAGGAAGCCAGTGGGATGCACTTACCCACGACCACCCAGCGACTCTTGACGGCTGACCACAGGGCCCAGTGGTGCAGCAGCTCCTGCAGCTGTGCCAGGAGCTGTCCCCGGCTGCCTCCACGGGAGGCCGAGGGCTGCAGGCCCTCCGGGGGCACGGACACCAGCGTCACGTCTCCCAGTTCCAGAGACACTGCCAGGGCAAAACGGGCCTGTCAGAGCCCCACCGGAGCCTGCCCGCTCCCCGCCCGGTCCCACGGAAGCCCCAGGGCGGGGTGAGGGTCCCCTCCAGGCCACCTCAGCCAGCCCCTGCCCCAGGACCACAAGCACATGGCTGGCAAGGGCGGCTCCTGCAGGGGCAGCGGCCGCTCACCTGGCCCCTCCTCCACACTCAGCAAGGGGATGTCGTCGTCCAGGTAGGGCGCGGGGCCCGGGGCAGGGCCGCCGCCTGGGAAGTGGCCGCACCTCTGGTGGCAGCTGTGGATTGCAGGGAGAGGCATGAGCCGGGGCGGGGGGAGGGGGGTGGCGGCATTGCAGGCCCCTGGGGTGGACAGGAAAGGCCCAGGCAGGAGGCCGCCACTGCTGACATCTCCCTGGAGACAACACGTGCAGCAGACCGCAGCGACTGTCACCAGTGTCATCTACCCTCTGGGAGATGAGTGGTGACAGCAGACATTGCCCGGCGCGGCCCCCGTGGCGGGGCGATCGAGCAGGGGACTGACTATCCTCAGTTGCCAAGGGACGGCAGCCCCCAGCAGCAGGGGCCAGCACAAGTGGGAGTGAGCCAGGCCACAGGGGCTTGTGTGGCTGAGGCTCAGCTGCCGGGGCTGCAAGGGAGGAGGGGTGTTCTGGGGAGCGGGCCACAGCCCCGCCCACACAGCTGACACTCCTGAGCACAGGTGTTTCACACAGGTGACAACCTGTCCTTGGGACTCCTGCACAGCGATCACATCTACTTTACAAGAAAGGAACAGAGACTGACCAAGGCTGCACAGTGGACAAGTGAAGGGACTGGAGTTGGGGGCTAGGGGATTACCTACAAAGACTAATGTGCCCAACCAGGGCTGTGGTTGTGCCCTGGAGAGTTGTGCCCAGGCTGGGGTCTTTGCAGGCGCCTTCCACCAGGATACCTTCCTTCAATACTGTGACACTGTCCTTGAAACAACTTCCTTTTTTGGGGGGGGGGTCAGTCATGGGGCTTGAACTCAGGGCCTGAGTGCTGACCCTGAGCTCCTTTGCTCAAGGCTAGCACTGTACCACTTGGGGTTTTCTGGAGTTTCTGATGGTTAGTTGGAGATGAGTCTTATGGACTTTTCTGCCTGGGCTGGCTTTGAACCACGATCCTTCTGATCTTGGCCTCCTGAGAAGCTAGGATTATAGGTGTGAGCCACCGGCGCCTGGCCTTACACACAATTTGAATGCTCATGATGTAGCAGGGCGACTTTGTGGAGCGTCCAACCTGTGCCACCACAAACGGACCCCAGAGGGACAATGTGCTCCTCCTCACAAGCCCGAGGTGGGCGGCTCGTCTCCTCTTGCCCCTTCTTGGCTCAGCAGGCAGGTATAGTATGCACACCAGCCAAGCTCGGTGTGCCTGGCCCCAAGCCCAGAGACCCTGCATGCTGGCTCAGGACTCATGGCCTCCAACAGCCTGGCCCATGGTCTCTGCCTAGAGATGGCCTTCAGCAAGGAGGGGTGGCACTGGGGCTGCAGCCTGCACCCCAGCTCCCTATGAGGAAGCCAGCGGTGGCTTCTGGGTAATGGGCACAGTGAGGACCAGGCCCCTGCAGAAATGCTGTGCCCACGTCCTGGAAGTCAGATGGCCACAGCGGCTGACGGCTGGGCAGCAGCGTCTCCTGCCCGGGCTGGGGCCCAGCCAGCACTCACCGGGAGACTGGGCGGGTGGCCCGAAGGCCCACCGTGGCTGTGTGGAGCGAGGGCGGGGGCCGTAGGCGGCTCACCTGGCCTGGCAGGAGCTCTCCAGCGGCGCCAGGTAGAGGCTCCAGAGGCCCAGGGCGGCGGGCATGGTGACCAGCACGGCCAGCCAGCAGCAGGACACAATGAGCGACATGAACAGCCCGAAGTCATGCACGGCCGGGATCTGGAGCGGGGAGGGGACAGGCACGGGTTAGACCCCAGCTGCCGGGTGTGGCCCAGGCCGCCGCACACCAGCCTGCCCAGCAAGACACCAGGAGCCCCAGGCTGGTGCCAGGCGCAGCAGTGGGGGACGATGTGCTCATTCCTGAGTACAGCCCTGCTGCCTAGAGCCCCGGCTGCCTACCACCCCAGCTGGAACAGCGTCTGGCCCAGACAAGGCGCACAGTAGTGGCTGTAACAGGAATGAAGCTACACTCATTCGACCAGCCACAGGTCAGTGACGAGCTACAACGGAAGGGGAGCAGGGGACAGGAGCTGCAGAAATCCCACAGGGACCAGCCCCGGGTCACGGCAGTCAGAAAGCCAGAGCCAGGACACGCCTACTGTCTTTGTGAATCACCTTCACTATCATCTCATTCCATTTCTAGAATAATCCATAAGTGAGGAAGCCACTAAGCTTTTTTTTTTTTTTTCCGGTTGGTTGTGGGGCTTGAACTCTGGGCCTGGGTGCCGTCCCTCAGCTCTTCAGCTCAAGGCGAGCGCTCTACCACTTGAGCCGTAGCACTGCTTCTAGTTTTCTGGTGGTTTACTGGAGATAAGAGATTCACGGACTTTCCTTCCCCAGGCTGGCTCTGAACCGCGATCCTCAGATCTCAGCCTCCTGAGTAGCTAGGATGACGGGTGTGAGCCACCGGCGCCCCGCGCCGCTAAGCTTTTTGCTTGTGTGTTTGGTCCCGGTCATGTGTCTCAAAGCCCTGTCTCTCAGACTCGCAGCGCCAAGTTCATGTTCTGCCAAGCCCCGAGTGGAGCACAGACTGGAGAGGAAGCCAGGGTGAGAGGTGAAAACATGGCACAGAGCGAGCAGGTAAGAAGAGCTGTGGGCTAGGGGTGACACTGTGCCAGGCTGCGTGACCCTGAAGAGGTCACTCTATGTCTCTGGTCCTCAGTTTTGGGATTAGGGAAAGAAGGCTGGCAGTGGTACCTCTGTTTGGGGTTAGGATGACTGAATATGAAAGGACTTGGGAAACTGCAATGCCCAGGGCAGAGGGAGCGTCGCTCCTGGCGGGCAGCAGCCACGCATACAGCGGGCATCACCATGGCCTGCTGCTGGTTAGGTTTGGTAAGGGAGGTTCCCAAGCACAGTGGACTCTAGAGGGATGGCGGGCGCCTGGAGGCGGAGGCTGTGTTGTCGCAGGAGGGGTGGGGGGCAGGACGGGAGGCGGGTGCCAGCCACGGGTGGGAGGCGGGGAGGCAGGCCAGGCCGGAGGGGCCCGCACCTGGGAGAAGATGTTGGCTGCATAGGCGGCGGCCGTGGTGAGGGAGGTGAAGAAGGTGGCCTTGCCTGCCGTCTGGATGGTGTGGATCATGCGTAGCTGCGGGTCTTCTAGGTGTGCGGCCTGGCGGTAGGTGTTGATGAATACAAAGACGTCGTCCACCCCTGTGGGAGGGAGTTGGGGCCAGAGGGCAGTTCAGCTCAGACCCCACCTCTGGACAGCCTTTACAGGTCAGGTCAGGCTCCAGGAGAGTCCTGCTTCTGGTGGCAGTTTACAAAACCCCACAGCTCAGGCCTCAGGAGTCTCAGCCCCACCCACTATAAGCCCAGGTCCCACCTACCACTCCCTAGCCACACCCCCAAGCCTAAGCCCCACCCACCAGCATCTTGGTCACACCCACAGAGCCCAAGCCTCACCCACCATGCTCCTTGGCTGGCTACAGACACTGTAAGCCCAGGTCCCACCCACCACACTCCCTAGCCACACCCACAAGCCTAGTTCCCACCCACCCAGCTCTTTGGCCTCGCTCATCCTTTCCTCCAAATCCCAGCCGGCTTCCCATTCTATTCTGCCTGCCTTGCCAGCACCCTTACTTCTTCCCAGCCTCCTTTCTTGTTCTTTGCCCATAAAAATGCCAGGCATCTGCCCATTTTCACCTCCACACTCCAAGCTTCCCAGGCCTGAGAATGCCTTTTTAGAAGTCAAGATTGGCATCCAGGGGGAAGGCCCTTGGGAAGGAAGGGTCAGTGCCCTGGGAAGGCCTACTGCCACGGTGAGGGAGACAACTCACCAATCCCCACGATCACAAAGGCAGCCACGCCGTTGAGGATGCCCAGGTACTGGATGCCAAAGACCACGTGGTAGAGAAAGAGGGCCACCAGGCAGCTGAGGCCAATGCTGGCGATCCCAAAGAAGGACAGGAACACTGGGCGGGACAAGAGATGGGGGGGGATCCAGCCTCAGTCCCTTGCCCCCGGCCCCTCCACCTTTCTGTCTATTCTCAGCACAGGTACAGAGCAATTCTCAGCTCTCCATGTCTGAATACCGGGTCTGCAGGAGGCCCGGGTGGCAGACAAAACCATCTGAGCCAGTCATGTGGCCCAGGACCTCACCTGAGAGGTGGTACTTACCTTGAGTGCTAGCACAGAAGAACTATGCAATGTGCCCTAGGCCACCAGAGGTTCCTCAAGCAGGAGCTTGAGGTTTTCCACTGAGTCCTGGCACCTTACAGCATCGGACACACAGCTGGTGCCCAGTTAATATATACATATACACACACACACACACACACACACACCAGCTGCTCTGACAGGCCAGATGTGACCTGCACACACACACACACACCAGCTGCTCTGACAGGCCAGATGTGAGACACACACACACACACACACACACACACACACACACACACACACACACCAGCTCTGACAGACCAGAATAGAGACTATTCTGGTATTCCTGAGAAACAGCTTTGGCTCGCCAGCAGGAGAGGAGGGCCTGGCCTTACCTGAACAGGAAGTGAGGATGTAGACGAGGGCGGCAATGCAGCTGCTGCTGATGAAGGCCAGGAGCATGTCGTTGTTGAAGGTCCTGCGCACCTCGTAGTCGAAGAGGTCTGTTCCCCCGTAGAGGACCTGGACTTTGCTGGGGGAAGGAGGGGCATGAGGAGAGGACCCGGGGAGAGGGAGACAGGAAGGCTGGGAGTCTCCCCCTCTACCTTAGTTAGACATGGAAATCACCTGGGGGCTTCCCAAATCAGGCCAGACACAGGCACACTAAGTGGGGTTTCTGGGCAGAGCTGAGGCTTCCATGTTCTCTAACCCTCCCCAGTGGTTTAGATGTATGGCCAATCTTCAGACTTCCTGTTCTATTCAGATAATAATCAATTCTATGTCAACTTCCAATTGTCAATTACCAATAGCAAAAGCTAAATTCTAACTGGCTTCTTGATTCCATTTCATACCGCTATTCTTCTTGGGCTTACAAGTTATTTTTCATTCTTTTTCTTTTGGTTGGTCATGGGGCTTTAACTCAGTCCCTGGGCACCATCCCTGAACTTTTTCGCTCAAGGCTACAGCTCTACCACTTTGAGTCACAATACCACTTCTGGTTTTCTAGGGGTTAATTGGAGAGAAGAATTTCACAAACTTTCCTGCCTAGGCTGGCTTTGAACAGGTGATCCTCAGATTTTAGCCTCCTTAGTAGCTAGGATTATAGGCTGAGCCATGGGTACCTGCTTACAAACTATTTTTAATAGGAAAACAACCAAAAATGCAAACAGGAGCAACACCTGATTTTGTTGAAGGAGTAACAGGATGAGATCTAAATTGTATTTCTTACAGGAACCAAAAGAAATGTGGGGCTGGGAAGGTGGCTCCGTGGTAGAGCGCTTGCCTAGCATGCAGGAAGCCCTGGGTTCGATTCCTCAGCACCACATACACAGAAAGAGCCGGAAGTGGTGCTGGGGCTCAAGTGGTAGAATGGTAGCCTTGAGCTAAAGAAGCTCAGGGACAGTGCCCAGGCCCTGAGTTCAAGCCCCAGGACTGGCAAAAAAAAAAAAAAGTGTGTGAGCGAAATGTGAGAAAAAATATGGAAGACAACACTGGACACCAGACAACAAAGGATGATGGTTCCTGAGAGACGAGGGACAAGGCAGGCCTCTGGTTACCCTGGCTTAGTGTCTTAGCCACATTTTCTGTTCTCAAGCACAGCTCAACACATCACTTACTGGATTCTCCAACAACGTGGAAAACTTCAATGAAAACTATGAATCTATTGACTCAAGAAGCTTGAAGAATGAACTTCAAAGAGAAAGAAAAAAAAGTACAGTAGTACATATCTTAAATTGTTCAAAAAGTTGACCAAGAGAGAATCTTGAAAGCAGCATGAGAGAAGAGCACATCACAGATAGAGGATCAAAGAGGAAGATGGCAGAGGATAATGCAAGCTGGGGAACAATGGAGCAACATCCTTCCATACTGGGAAAAGACTGACAACCAATTTGATGTGATTCACTGTTAAGTTAAAAAATTTTACAAGCCGGCGCTGGTGGCTCACGCCTGTAATCCTAGCTACTCAGGAGGATGAGATCTGAGGATCGTGGTTCAGAGCCAGCCCAGGCAGGAAAGTCCCTGAAACTATCTCCAATAAACCACCAGAAAACTGGAAGTGGCGCTGTAGCTCAAGTGGTAGAGCACTAGCCTTGAACTGAAGAGCTGAGGGACAGCGCCCAGGCCCAGAGTTCAAGCCCCACGACCCACAAAAAAAAAAAAAAATTACAAATCCTCTCTCTAGATGCAGAATAAGCATTAGGAAAAAAAATCAAATGTTCATAACTGATTTTAAAATATAGCCCATCAAATTAGAAACAGAAGGATGCTCTCTTAGCCTGAGAAAAGACACCAACAATCCCACATGCTTTTTATTATCTTTAAGTAATTGCACAAAGGAGTTGTCATTTAACAAAGCAGTTTATGAACACAGTGCATCTCGATCATCATTCTCCCCATCCCACATACTTCTCTTAGGAATAGAACACGCTGTACACTCTCATCACAGCTGCTCAGTATTGTACTGGGGGTGCTAGCCAGTGCAATCAGACAAGAAAGAAAAAGACATGTATCTGAATCAGAAAGAAGCAAGACTGTCTTTGCTAGTGAAAATGGGATTATGACTGAAAACCTAGCAAAAGAACAGACTGCATCCACACATCTATGGGTTATCCAAAGTCCATCATAATGGTCATATTTAAGATCAGAGAGGAGACTGTGGATCAGAAAAAATCAATGAATAAAACTAGGAAAAGTTTCAACAGTGATGTAGATCTACACAAATAATCAGATGCAAATTCTTAACAGAAAGGCAGAACTTTAACATTAAAAGCTCAGACATTAAATGGCAGTAAAACACAGTAAAACCTAGAAAAGAGCACTGAAGACAGATGGGACTTGGTGATAAGAGTTAACATTTGTGTAACTACAGCCATAAAAGGAGAGAGCACAGAGAAAACAGAGGCAGAAGCAATGTCTGAAGTGATAAGAGCCAAGACGTTCTACAACTGATTAGACATCAACCTACAGATTAAGCTCTGTGGCCCAAGCAGATCAAGTACAAAGAAAACCACAATACAGTAAAACTAGTGAAATGGAAGACCAAGAGAAATCTTAAAACCAGAGGGAAAACAACCATTCAAAAGAGTTACAGGCTGACTTCACTACAGAAACAATGGAAGTCAAAGGACAGTGGAACAGTATTAAAGGAAACTAGCCACCCATTTATCTAACTCTACACCAGCTAAATCAACTCCAAAAAGGAGAGCAAACTGGAGGTGTTATCCAGTTAAACAAAACAGAGAATTTATCCCCAGTAAGCCCGCATTGAAAGAATACTACAGAGATTTCTTCAGGAAATGATCCCAGAGGGAGACATGAAACTGTAGAAAATAATGAAGAGCAATAAGAAAAGGTAAGCATGTGAGTAAATATGAATGAGACTACGTGAAATAACAGACCATCTTAGGGGGCTTTAAGCACAAATAGAACACACAGGATAAAAATACAAGAGGCGGACAGACAATAAACGCAGTGTTCTAAGACTTCTGGCTTTCTCAGGGGAACAGTGAGAGTGGTCACGTGTATAATTCTGTATTAAGTCAAGGTGCAAGTCTTCATTTCTTGGGTCACCAAGAAATGTGAAAGGGATTTTATTAATCAAAGAAGACACTGAAATCAGAGCTTTGTCTGTCACGAGTGCTATGATGCACTAGGGGAAAGGGAAGGGAATGCCTGGCTTTTTCACTAAGGGCAGGGATTTGACTCTGCAGCTGAACATTTCCACAGGGATAATTCAGACCAGAAACCTTGAGGAGCCTTCCACCATCAGCCACTCTCAGCTACCTTTCCTCCAGACTTGTTCATTCATTCATTCCTCAGACAAACCCTTACTAAAGCCTGGTACAGTGGTAGGGCTAGACCTATAGAAATGAGCCAGAAACAATCCCAGACCCCAGTGATGAAAAATAACTCAAACTGAAGCACTCCACCCGGGACCCTTTGCTGCTGACTTTCCCCCCCTCAACAAACACATTCACTGGTTTGGGAAGAGGGCCTGAGACCAAGGCCAGGTCTAGTGTTGATGCCCCTAATAGACACAAATGCCGTTGAGACATTGAAACTCTCAAGATTGCTCTCCTACTTCGCCTCCATCTCACCCTGCTTCTGTCTGCTCCATCCGACTTCACTTCTTCTGCCTAGTGTTTAAAGGAACCCTACTTTAAGGGGGGTGCCATTTCCTCTTCAGCCAGGCTGAAGGAGACCTGGTTGCCAGGTCTTCTTCCTGCATAAAACCTGATGGACTGTTGAGTTCGCCTTTCTGCTCTTTTTCTTTTCTTATATCCAGTACACAATTCATACCACATTGGGACAGAATATAAAAGCAGACCTTTCCTAAACTTTAACATGTGATTTTATCCTAGGGCTTTTATTTTAGGGTTGTGATGATGGTAGGCACAACCACACCTGGTACACTCCCTCCTTTTATTGTTCCAATGACACCTGGAGACAGTAACTTACCAGCATCTCCTTAGATACTTGAGACAGAGGAGCTCCTTGTCTCCTATCTAGAAATCTTTCTAGAAAGCACCATCTCAGGAGGAAATCAATACATAAGGCCTGTAGGGCAAGAATTCAGGAACTCCCTCTCCCCGCCCCCCCCCCCAAGCTGTCATGTTCACTAAGCACAAGCACTGATCAAGGGACGGGCTTTGCAGAGAGACAGCAAGAATGTATCTGGCTCTGCCCCTGATTTGGCAAGAAAGGCTTCCTGGGGGGAGAAAGGATGTAGGAAAGGGGACCTGGAGTTTGCAACCTGAATGTTTGCAACGGCAAACATTCCTGCAGCAGCTACCTCTCTCACACAGGGACAGGACCCCACGAGGGTGCAGCGGGACTTCCTACCTGGTGGACTGCTTGGCCAGCATGGCCACATATGTGACCACGAAGCTCTGAAACTTGGCCCGTTGCTCCTCCCAGCGGTCATCCACTGAATAATAGTTGGGCAGGGGTGCCCCAAACAGGATCTCGCTACGCAGGAGGGAGCTCTTCAGATTGTCTGCGGAGAGGCCCTCATCCACATACCAGTAGAACTCTGGGTGAGTCATGGCCAGCTCTAGGGAGCCTGTGGGCAGGGGGTAAGGCCAAATTGCTCAACAGGTGGTGCCCACCAGCCTTCACACCCTCTTCAAGGCTCTCACTCAAGCTTCCTGGGGGCAGGGAGGGGGGGAGGAGGGCAGCTAGAGCAGGGATAGCTTCCAGAACCTACAGCTCCCAGAAGAGCAATCCCCAATTGCTCTGTTTGAATCCCACTTAATTCCAGGGCTCAGACTATGAAGGCTTGCAGTTTCATCCTGTCCCATTCCTGCCCTGCCTCATGGGGTTCTGTCTCCCCTACATCCTCCTGTATCCAAACCCTGCCCCAGACCCCACAACAATTCTCTGGTCCTATTCTGCTCTTCCTCATTAAAGTCCTATAGCTGATGTACCTAAAGGATGACTGATGTCAGTCATCCTTCAACCTCTCTTCCACATGTGTGCGTGTGCGTGTGTACTGGGGCTTGAACTCAGGGCTTGGGTGCTGTGCCTGAGCTTTTGTACTCAAGGCTGGTGCTCTACCAGTTGAGCCACAGCTTCCACTTTTGGCCTTTTTTTTTGGTAGTTTATTGGCGATACGAGCCTCATGGACTTTCCTGCCTGGGCTGTCTTCGAACCTCGATCCTCACATTTCAGCCTCCCGAGTAACCAGGATTACAGGAGTGAGCACCGGTCCCTGCTCTGAACAGCTCCCGGCGCCGCCTCACCCCGCCTCGCTCCGGAGCCCCCGGACTGCTCACCCTGGATGTCGGCCAGGTCCTGGCCCATGCCGTCGTAGTAGATCTTGCCGCCCCTCTCGGTGGGGAAGAAGTAGGTCATGAGGGAGCTGGGCGGGGAGCAGTACGAGTAGGAGCCCAGAGGCAGGTCTTTGAGCACCTCGTGGGGCTTCCAGCAGAACTCCCGGAAGCCCGGGTGGTCCATGATCTTGCGCTCGATCTCGTGGATCGTCACCAGCCGCTCGCTGGTGAAAATGTTGCGCTCGGCATCGCCGCGCGCCAGGAAGATGAGCTCGATGCGCCAGTGCGCATGCGTTTGAGTGTTGGCGCTTACGTAGGTGCGTGAGTAGTCCCAGTGCGAGGCGGCACCTCGACGGGCACGGCTCTGATTGGCCACGGTGGCTGCAGGGGGTGGGGCGCTGGGCTGGTGTGGCTCTTTCTTGGCCACCACTGGCTGGTCCTGCGAGGCTTCATTCTGGTTGGCTGTCCCTCCCGCCAGGGGCGAGGCTTCTCTCTGGTTCTGAGGGGCCGCTGGCCTTGGGGCCGCTGAGGGGTCCCAGGCGGCCGCGGGGGCGGCCCGCGGGGCTCGGGCCGGTCTGGAGCGGTTCCCCAGGTGCAGCTGCTGCAGGCGCTCAGCGATGAGGCGCTGAAGCGTCTCGGAAGTGAGGTCGGCCAGGTCGCGCCTGCTGCGACCCCAGGATCCAAACTGGGACTTGAGAGCCAAGGCCAGGGCGTCGAAGCGCTGCGAGGCCTCGTGGTTGCGGATCTCGAAGGCGTTGTAGGAGATGTCGATGTCCAGGGGAGGGTAGTAGAGGAACATGAAGGCCGACAGCGCCATGGGCACGCTGCAGCCCAGGAAGAGCACCAAGCCCGCGCAGCACGGGTTGGTGAAGGCCCAGCCCAGAGTACTCCAGAACCCCGAGGCTGGCGGCCCGGGAGGGAAGGTCCACCGCCGCCAGCAACAGTGCCCTACTGCCCCAGCTCGGGGCCCCGACTTGTGGGCCCCCCTAAAGGCGTCTCCAGTCCCTTCCTCCTCCTCCTCTGGCCACACATCCTGCAGCAAGGGATCGTCTTCAGAATCCATGGCCTACAAGGGAGGCAGGGGTCAGCAGCCTGCAGGGGGAGGGGCCAGTGCTAACCCCGCCCACTGAGCAGCCCGCGGGGCGGGGCCAACCCTAGACACGCCCGCCCAGCAGCTCACAGGGTGGGACCCATGCTAGCCCCGCCCATTCACAACCAAACCTATTGCTTTTGGTCTCTTACAGCTCTACTGAACTCAACCAGGTGCCACAAAAGGAAGAAACAACCTCTTTCATCACTTCAACAGAGAGGGAGGGAGAGGAGAAAGAACGGGTGGTGGGGGTGGGAGAAACGGGCTTGAACTCAGGGCCTGGGCATTGTCCCTTTAGCTCTTTCGCCCAGGGCTGGTGCTCTACCACTTGAGCCACAGCTCTGCTTCTAGCTTTTTGGTGGATAATTGGAGCTAAGTCTCATAGACTTTTCTTTGTCTGGTTGGCTTTGGACTGCAGCCCTCTGATACAGTCTCCTGGGTAGCTGGCATTACAGACGTGCGCACTGGCACCTGGCTTAGATCTTAGGGTTCAAGGCCACAGAAAAGGAGACCTGCAGCTCAATTACAAATAGAAAAGCTGTTTCTCTCCGTGTACGGGGCATTGGAAAAGAATCCTAATTGCATGTGATTTGCTGGATCTTTTGCCGGTTTCTCTGACTTCAGAACTTAAGGCTAATGTGAGATGTAACTCCACACCACCACTTGTGTTTAATGAGCAGCTGTAAAGTATGCTCACACAAGTAGAAGGGGAAGACAGACCCTGGCTGGGTCCCAGCAGTGAACACTGGCAAGGCATTGGGCCTCTGTGGACATCAGAGTCTTCATCTGTGAAATAAGGTGAGCGTTCTTGTAGCTCACGATTTGTGAGGTCAAGAGTGGAAGTAATCTGCAGTCTATATGGAATGTTAACTATCATCTGTCACATAAGCAGACTCTTCTGCTTCCCTCTGGGGACGGTCATATGCTCGGCCAGGGCTCAAGGGGGTGTGGCTGTCGCCACGTCTCCTCGGCAGCCCCCTCCCCCCCCAGCTGCATTTCTTTCATTGTCAGATTCAGATCACTTAATATGCAGCTGTAGCAATGTCAAACCTTTGGGCACAGGCAGGGGCAGGCCAGCTGTCTTCCCAAGACCTGAGCACAAGCAGCCAGCGAGACTGGCAGGAAAGGCAGTCTGAGGATCCCAGCGGGGTGGGGGGGCAAAGGCGGGCATCCCCGGGCATGGCCTGTCCCCTTGTCTTGCCTGCTTTCTGTGCAGGTGGAGAGAGCCTCATTATCTAGTTAGACACCAGGCAGTGAGAGGAAGAAGCTAATTATGCCAGAGCTGACTAATTAATTCTGCCTTTCCTATTAACATTCTCTGGAGCGTTCCATTTCAATTAGACGGTCTGTCCGGGAGGAGAGCAGACTGCCGTCAGTCCGGAGAAAGTGAGGAGGACGAGGGGAAGCCGGGCATCGGGGACAGACGTTGGAGAGATTTGGGATGGAGGGAGATGGAAAGAGAGAGGGACAGATGCGAACAGGGACACCAGGAGAGGAATAGAGTGACCAAGAGTGGGTGGGAGGAAAGAATTGCACAGCACAGGACAGAGGGTGGGGGAGGGAGGGCTGGACGGGCAGAAGCTGCTCCTGGATTACGCAAGATTTCTATCAATGAGATAATTAAACTTCCAATTCGATTTGCAATGCTCCCAAAGGAGCCCACCAGCCAGCTGCAAGAATACTCACCGTTCTTGTATGTATTTGTATTTGTGTGGGAGACAGCCCGGACCCACTCTGTCTTCCAGGGGAGCACTGTAGTTACTACATGGTGGCATGTGCCCTCAGAAGGAGGAAGCCGTAGGTGACAGAGACAGGCAGAGACTTCTGTACTTCTCTTGGGCTAAATGAGCTTACCTGCTCCCCCCCCACCCCAGGCCTGCCTTTGTGCAATGAGTTGGTATGGAGGGGGGTTAAAGGTCAGAATTGGATGTCACAGCAGCCTGCCCTGGGTGCTCTGGGGACCTGCTATCCCATTGCTACTCTGTGAGGAACGCCACCCCCCTTTCCAACGGCATCCAAACCTCAGTCATCTTCCACAGCTCTGATGGACGTCCCTGCCAAGAGGTCTCCCAGATCTGAACCCCACCAATGCCTGCCCAGTCTCGCCACCCTCCACCTGGGTGTAAAAACTCCCCAGCTGCCGGACGCCGGTGGCTCACGCCTGTCACCCTAGCTACTGAGATCTGAGGAGTGGTTCCAAGCCAGGCTGGGCAGGAAAGACTGTGAGAGTCTTCTCTCACCAATTAACCACCAAAAAGACAGAAGTGGAGCTTGCAGCCTTGAGTGAGAAAGCGACCTGGTCCCGGCAAAGAAAGCAGGAAGGACGGGGGGGGGGGCAGGGAGATGCGGCTTCCGCCCAACTCTCAGGACCCCCACCCAGATGTGGAATCCCAGCGCCATGCTGGGGCAGGCCTGCACCTGCGCGTGCACAGACCACGCGGGGGAGTTTCTGCTGAGCAGCCTGCTGTGGTGTCGGCCACATGGGCAAGGGAGGTGGCCGGCAGGAAAGCCCAGCCTCAGCCGTGGGTTTCCCAGGAGGCTCAGCTTCCACGCCGCAGGAGGCAGCCTGGGCCTTCTCCCCAGGACGGCGCTGTATCAGGACCGCAGTGGATCCTTGCTCTCCACACGACCCCCGCCACCAGCCCCGGAAGCAGAACGTGCCTGGGTGCCGAGTGAGTCCTCAAATGCTCCTACCGGAGGCCGGCAGCACAGAGCACCGTGCAGGGAAGGAGACGAGCCTGCAGCTTGGATCTGGGACTCGTGACTTGTGTCTGGACAGACAGAGCAGCACCAGCTATGTGCACCCATGGCAGAACACCGCTCTGGGCTGGGAAGGATCTGGAAGCTTGTGCTGCAGACCTGGTGGTGAGTTCTTGGTCTGTCTCCCCTTCTCCACACCTCTGCACCGGCCTTCTCACCCCCCCCCCCAAGGGAGGAGCTGTCATTGGAAAGGCATGCCCTTCCCCCTCCTGGGTATGAGAAAGTGGAGGCCCGGTCCTGCAGTAAGCCCTGAACACGGGGCTGTGCCAGGCTGCAGTGTGAGCTGATGCCCGCCACCCGCCACCACCGAGGCTGGATTGGGGGCTCTGCCTCCCCCCTCCGCCCCCAGGAAGGCCACCGGCCAGGCAGCAGCTCACAGGTCTGTTTTCCTTCTTGAGTGATAGGAAAGATCCATTTCATAGAAGCCCCTGCCCCTCTGGAAGACCAGGGGGGCCCCACGATACTCATCCTTGACCAACTGGAGTTGGACTGGGGTCCTTCCAGCTCATTACAGTGGGCCCTTCTCTGTCTGCCCGTCTTTTATGCACACACACTCAGCAGTTAAGCTCTGAACCTCCCACTGAAGCACAGTGCTCACACCTGCAGAGCAAGTCACCTTGCATGGGGGCCGCCACCTTCCAGACTGGCAGGACCGAGAGCCTGGCTGCGCGCAGAACGTCCCCGCCAGCCAGGGGAGATGCAAAACCGACAGCTGCAACAAGTTCCTACTTGGCTTTTTTTTTTTTTCTCCTGGATCTGCCACCAGAGCTCACACTGGGTACTGTGGCCGCTTTTGCTCATGGGCTAGCATAGCAGTTCCCAACCGAGCCGCGCCTCAAACCCCGAATTCTTACTTTTAGAACAGAAAGAAACCAGCCCAGCTACCACCAGCAGCAACAACTACAACACAGCTCCAAGCCTCTAGATGTATGTATTTAAATAAAGCCTACGTGCCAGGCACTGGTGGCTCATGCCCGAAATCCTGGCTACTCAGATCTACTCATAATCCTAGCTACAGAGATCGGAGGATCGTACCAGCCAGGGCAGGAAAATCTGAGACTCTTATCTCCACTAAACTACCAAAAAAGCCAGAAGTGGAGCTGTGGCTCAAAGCAATAGAACGCTAGCTTTGAGCAAAACTAGTTCAGGGACAGCCTCAGGCCCTAAGTTCAAGCCCTAGGATTGGCACCAAAACAAAAACAAAACAACCTCCCAAACCTATGAGCAGTGGTTACCATCGTCTGGGGTGTGGGGTGGGGTGAGAACTATAGGTAATTACTATTTTCTCCTCCTTTATACTTGTCTGCTTTTTTCTTTCTGTGGTCAGGACAGCCTTACCTTTGGGATCAGAAATGAACATTATTTAAAAATAGAGGAGGGCACAGAACTCGAGGGAAAGGGTGGAAAAGCCCAGCTGCAAAGTGCACTGGACACCAGTGAAAGTCCTGGTAGACAGCGGGGGGAACAGGAGCCACTGTGCGGGAGGAAATGTACTCACTGTTTGGTCGTGTCACCGTGCTCCATCAATACATTAGTTTATGCGTGTGAGGGGAGGGTTTTCCTGACGGCCTCAGCTCTTAGAGTTCCTCTAATGGGTGGGAGAGAGGCGTTCTGTCCTCCAGTGAGCACCAGCGACAGCTGTCTTGGGCTGTGGCAGGAGGGACCCCAGAAAGACAGCAGGACGCTGCAGTGGGGAGCTGGCAGACCTCTGTGGGTGACAGAACCCGAAACCCGAAGCTCCGTTCCAACATGGAGAGAGGAGTCCTACCGTGGCTGACGCCTGTAATCCCAGCCAAGATCTGAGGATAGTGGCTCAAAGCCAGTCCAGGCAGGAAACTTTATGAGACTCTTATCTCCAATTAAGTAACCTCTTAAAAATAAAAAGCCAGAAATGGGGCCATGGTTCAAGTGATAGAGCATTAGCTTTGAGCAAAAAAGCTCCAGAACCATGCCTAGGCCCTGCGTTCAAGCCCCAGGACTGAAATTAAAAAACCCCAAAGTAGACAATGGACTATCAGACCCCAAAGGGCCCCACAGCACACCCTGCACTGCATTTTACGCACAGACAGCCCAGCAGGGGCGGGGGCGGGGGCAGGACTCCTGTCTGAAGTCTTTATCTGACTCTATCACCCCAGTCTGCAGTGGTTTCTGACACCCCCAGTCTGGGCAGATGGGGCCTTGGGGGTGAGACCACCCCGCCCCCACTGGGCCGG